CGGGCCTCGCCTAGCATTAGCTTATTTAGAAAGGTTTCTGATGAGTCACGAAAAAATTGGCAAGGTCATACTGCTGGAAATCTTTGTTCAAGGCCTGTGGAATTCACGATCTGCCCGGCAACAGGCTCAGTACTGTGTCAGATAAATCCATTAAGGTACAATTAATCAACAATTAATCAGAGACCAGAGCTAGCATACCAGTTTTAGTATAATGGTATAGTGCAACAATGCAGCCAACATTAGCTCGTGGATTACCAAGATTATAAACATTGCACCATGAACACAGCACACATCACATGATTTTGTCTTGACAAACCACAGGGAAGGGCATTTTTACAAGTCAGACAGAAGCAGGCCTCTTGTCTGGGCAAGACTTGCTATGCTAACACAAGAAAGCTGACCTAGTTAGTTCCATCCGCATCTTTATCAAGCTGCTTTGTTAATAATGGTGAAATTTTTTTCTTTCCTTTTAACTTTAGACACTGGTTTTCCTGTATTTCTCCTGTACTGGTCTTCCTGGCCTCATTGTGTGTTTGTATGATGCATACCAGATGCTGCTGATTACACCGGAAAACTCTCACCTCATACCCACCCCTGTTGCTTCTGATGTGTTTTCAGGGTGTTATGATGTGAAGGTTCATGTGCTTTTTGTGCTGAGGAATTTTTTTGTTTTCTGTTCTCATACTGATCTCCTACTAGGAGCTCAGTGTGAGAAGAGTTCTGTTTTACTCTCCTCCATCTCCCTATTTTGTTGTACATTTCATTGTTTTTCTTTACGCTACCTGTTCTGACCTGCCTACCCGATGTGATGTTTGTGTATTGTATGTATTGTCGGAAGAGGTCCAATTTTGCTGCAGGGAACTGCAAATGACAAATAAATGGCTTCATGATCGTCATCATCATGTGTGTACAGGCGACACTGTACTTCAACACTGTTGGAACACACAGGCCGGTGCTAGTAGTGGATGTTGACGGCGTCGGGGAGGAAATGCTGTCTTTGCCTATGAAGGCTAGGTTAGACACATTTACATGTCAACATACACAGTCTG